CTAAAATAAATAAATAAATAAATTAAAAATAATCAGCCAGCATGGTGGTACATGCCTGTGGTCCCAGATACTCAGGAAGCTGCAGTGAACTATGATCTCAGCACTGCACTCCAGTATGGGCAATAGAGTGAGACCCTGTCTTGAAAAACAATTGTTTTTTTTTTTTGAGACAGAGTTTCATTCTTATTGTCCAGGCTGGAGTGCAATGGTGCGATCTTGGCTCATTGTAACCTCCACCCCCTGGGTTCCAGCAATTCTCCTGCCTCAGCCTCCCAAGTAGCTGGGATTACAGGCATGTGCCACCCTGCCCAGCTAATTTTGTATTTTTAGTAGAGATGGGGTTTCTCCATGTTGGTCAGGCTAGTCTTGAACTCCTGACCTTAGGTGATCCACCCACTTCAGCCCCCAAAAGTGCTGGGATTATAGGCGTGAGCCACCGGGCCCGGCCAAAAAACAATTTTTTAAATATTTCATTTTATTTCATTTCATTCCAATTCATTTCATTTCATTTTTGAAATGGAGTCTCACTCTGTTGCTCAGGCTGGACTGCAATGGTGCAAACTCGGCTCACTGCAACTTCCGCCTCCTGGGCTGAAGCGATTTTCCTGCTTCAGCCTCCGGAGTAGCTAGGATTACAGGCAGCTGCCCTCATGCCCAGCTAAGTTTGTATTTTTCTGGAGACAGGGTTTCACCATGTTGACCAGGCTGATCTTGAACTCCTGACCTCAGGGGATCTGCCTTCCTTGGCCTCCCAAAGTGCTGGGATTAAAGCCGTAAGCCACTGCACCCAGACCAAAAAAAAATTTTTTTCTTTGATATAAGAAAATGTGCATTGTTTTGAACTGGGCAGATACTTCAAAAGATGAGGGCTCTTCCTGATATGATTATAGCCTGTCATGGCTGCTAACCTGAAAAGCATCTTTATAAATGAAGGGCTAGCCTCCCTCTCCTCCACTGAAGCCCCAGAAAAACTGGGCTGCCTTTTCTTTTTAAGGGCATCAGGACTAAAAGCCTTTGTGCACACTAATTCAATCCAATCAATGTATGGAGCACCTACCTTGATAGAGCCACTGCCAGGCCTAGAAAGTCCAAAAATGATCTGATATCATCATTTCCCCAGTACGTTCTGCCCCGAGTATTGTGTTTATATTAGTCAAGTTCATTTAGAAGTCTATTATTTCTGATACAGCTGGCTTTGGAATTTCCATTTGACTGCATTAGGAGGCACTAAATTGCATGAATTCATCTGAGAGTTGAGATCACAGGAACTAATAATGTACTTGATCTCTTTGCTCACAGTCATCATTTTTTAAAACAAAAATATTATGAAGGCCATTGATGGTGGTGAAATTAATATCCGGTTGGGATTTCCCACACAACTTCAGAGGCCTATCATTAAGGAGCTGAATCTGAGCCAGACACACTCATTATACGTGTTGCGTTGTCAGTGGTTCTGCTGAATGCGTGGAGGAGACATGCACCTTGCAGGGGTAGACTTATCCTATCCAGGTGCAAGTTCCATTTCTTCCATCTGCTACCTGGGTGACTGTGAATGGCTCACTTCCCCTTGCCGAGCCTTAGTAATCATCTCTCTAGACAAGGGCGCAGAATCACAGACTAGCTGCTGTGACTTCTGGGAGGAGTGAGGGATTTCACTGAATAGCAAAAGGACATTTTCACTTAGCACTTCATTAGGAATTGTTTGAATTAACTACAGAGAGCCTGGGTTTCTCCTGTGATTTTTATTTAATTAATTAATTTATTGATTTTTTTTCTTTTTTTTTTCTTTTCTTACCTTATTATTATTATTTTTTTGAGACGGAGTTTCGCTCTTGTTACCCAGGCTGGAGTGCAATGGCGCAATCTCGGCTCACCGCAACCTCCACCTCCTGGGTTCAGGCAATTCTCCTGCCTCAGCCTCCTGAGTAGCTGGGATTACAGGCACGTGCCACCATGCCCAGCTAATTTTTTGTATTTTTAGTAGAGATGGGGTTTCACCATGTTGACCAGGATGGTCTCGATCTCTTGACCTTGTGATCCACCCGCCTCGGCCTCCCAAAGTGCTGGGATTACAGGCTTGAGCCACCACGCCCGGCCTATTATTATTATTTTTAAGAAGGAGTCTTGCTCTGTCACCCAAGCTGGAGTGCAGTGGCATGATCTTGGATCACTGCAACCTCCACCTCCCAGGTTCAAGCAATTCTCCTGCCTCAGACTCCCGTGTAGCTGAGACTACAGGTGGGTGCCACCACACCCAGCTAATTTTTTGTATTTTCAGTAGAAACGAGGTTTCACTATGTTGGCAAGGCTGATCTCGAACTTTTGACCTCAGGTGATCCACCCACCTTAGCCTCCCAAAATGCTGGGATTACGGGCCTGAGCCACTGCACCCAACCTCTCCTGTGATTTTTTTTTTTAAGCTGTTGGAGTGCAATATCCTGATCTCGGCTCACCACAACCTCTGCCTCCTGAGTTCAAGCAATTCTCCTGCCTCAGCCTTTGAGTAGCTGGGATTACAGGCATGTGCCACTATGACCTGCTCATTTTGTATTTTTAGTAGAGATGGGGTTTTTCCATGTTGACCAGGCTGGTCTCGAACTCCTGACCTCAAGTGGTCTGCCAGCCCAGTCTCCCAAATGCTGGGATTACAGGCCACATGTAAACTTCTGTCTCTTCCCACTCTCTGTGGTGCTGCTCCCTCCTTTTCTGTACCCTGTCCAGCACACTCCAGCTGCTTCAGCAGCTTCAGACACTGATTTCTGCCTCTGCAGCTCAGGAAGAACACTCCTTTGCTTGGGATCCACTTTCCTTCACTGTAATTGGGAAACTGCCCCAGGAAAAAAGCCAGGACAAACATGGGGTTCATCTTGTCTGTTTCCCTTTTTCTCAAGGATCATAGTCTATTTTGCCTGTTTTTCAATAACTGAAAACATCTGCCTCTGATTTTTGTCCAGTTTTATAGTTGTTTAAGATTGTTGGGCCAGGCGCGGTGGCTTATGCCTGAAATCCCAGCACCTGGGGAGGCCGAGGTGGCTGGATCACTTGAGATCAGGAGTTCAACAGCAGCCTGGCCAACATGGTGAAACCCCATCTCTACTAAAATACAAAAAATTAGCTGGGCGTGGTGGCAGGTGCCTATAATCCCAGCTACTCAGGAGGCTGAGGCAGGAGAATCACTTGAACCTGGGAGGCAGAGGTTGCATTGAGCCAAGATCACACCACTGGACTCCAGCCTGCATGACAGAGCAAGACTCCATCTCAAAAAAAAAAAAAAAAAGAAAATTGTTGGACAAGGTCATCATCACTGAAAGTAGAAGTCCTACTCTCACTTTCGATATGTAAACATCTTTTTAGAAGTATAACTGACATACAATAAATTCTTTTTTTTTTTTTTTTTGAGATGGAGTTTCACTCTGTCACCCAGGCTGGAGTGCCGTGGTGCAATCTCAGCTCACTGCAACCTCCGCCTCCTGAGTTCAAGCCATTCTCCTGCCTTGGCCTCCTGAGTAGCTTACGACTACAGGCGCAAGCCACCAGGCCTGGCTAATTTTTGTATTTTTAGTAGAAACAGGGTTTCACCATGTTGGCCAGGCTGGTCTCAAACTCCTGATCTCGGGTGATCCGCCCACCTCAGCCTCCCAAAGTGCTGGGATTACAGGCATTAGCCACCATGCCCAGCCAAATTGTTCATAAAGTATACAATTTGATGAGTTTTGACTGATGTGTGTACCCATAGAACTATTAGCATAATGCAGAAATGAAGATAAGGTTCCTCCTCTTTTTAAAAATTGGAGACACTGGCTATGTGTGGTGGCTGACAGCTGTAACCTCGGCACTTTGGGATGCCAAGGTGGGCGAATCACTTGAGCCTAGGAGTTCAAGACCAGCCTGGGCAACATGGCAAAACCCTGTCTATACAAAAAATAAAAAAATTGGCTGAGCGTGGTGGCTCATGCCTGTAGTCCAAGCACTTTGGAGGCCAAGGCAGGTGGATCACCTGAGGTCGGAAGTTCAAGACCAGCCTGACCAACATGGTGAAAACCCATCTTAAAAAAAAATTAAAATAAAATAAAATAAATAAAAAAAATTTAAAAATTACCTGGGCATGAGGGCATGTGCCTGTGGTCCTAGCTACTCAGGAGCTGAGGTGGGAGAGTCACCTGAGCCTGAGAAGTCGATGGTGCAGTAAGCTGAGTTCATGCCACTAAATTCCAGGATGAGACCTTGTCTCAAAAACAACTCAGCTATAAAACTGGGGTCTGGAACGGTAGCTCATGCCTATAATCTCAGCACTTTGGGAGGCCAAGCTGGTTGGATCACTTGAGGTCAGTAGTTTGAGACCAGCTTGGTTGGCCAACATGGTGAAACCCCGTCTGTACTAAAAAAAAAAAAAAAGAAAAAGAAAAAGAAAAATTAGCCAAAGGTGGTGGCATGAACCTGTAATCCCAGCTACTCGGGAGGCTGAGGCAGAAGAATCACTTGAACCCAGGAGGCTGAGGTTGCAGTGAGTGAGTCAAGATGGTGCCACTGCACTCCATCCCGGCCAACAGAGTAAGCCCCACCTTAAAAAAAAAAAAAAAAAAAAGGCCGGGCGTGGTAGTGGTGACTCACAGCTTGTAATCCCCGCACTTTGGGAGGCCAAGGTGGTCGGATCATGAGGTCAGAAAGGATCATTCTGCGAACACAGTGAAAACCCGTCTCTACTAAAAATACAAAAAAACAGCTGGGCTTGGTGGCGGGCACCTGTAGTCCCAGCTACTAGGGAGGCTGAGGCAGGAGAATCGCTTGAACCCGAGGGACGGAGGTTGCAGTGAGCCAAGATCGCACCACTACACTCCAGCGTGGAGACAGAACGAGACTCTGTCTCAAAAACAAACAAGCAAAACAAAACAAAAAAACCCCCAAGACTCAGGTATAAAACCATCTAAGCCTGATGCCTTTTAAAATGATTGAATACAAAAGAAAAAAAAAAGGATTCTGATTTTCCTCTCCCCAAAGGCATGCACGAGGAGCGGCAGGATGAGCACGGATTCATCTCCCGCTGCTTCACCCGGAAATACACGCTGCCGCCTGGTGTGGACCCCACCCAGGTCTCCTCTTCCCTGTCCCCTGAGGGCACACTGACCGTGGAGGCCCCCATGCCCAAGCCAGCCACGCAGTCCAACGAGATCACCATCCCCGTCTCCTTCGCGGGCCCAGCTTGGGGGCCCAGAAGCTGCGAAATCCGACCAGTCTGCAGCCAAGTAAAAGCCTTAGCCCGGATGCCCACCCGTGCCACCTCCACTGGCCATGCCCCCTCCCACCTGTGTGTTCTTTTGATACGTTTATCTTCTGTTTTTCTCAAAGTTCAAAACAACCCCCCCCCAAAAAAAAAAAAAAAAAAAAGAAAAAAAAAAAGAAAAAATGAGTGAATACTTAATTTTTCTAATTTCTTTTATTTTTATTTTCTTTATGTATTTATCTATTTTTGAGATGAAGTCTGGCTCTGTCTCCCAGGCTGGAGTGCTCTGGCGCCATCTCAGCTCACTGCAACCTGCGCCTCTTCTGTTCAAGTGATTCTCGTGCCTCAGCCTCCCGAGTAGCTGGGACTACAGGCACAAGCCATCAGGCCTAGCTAATTTTTGTCTTTTTAGTAGAGACGGGTTTTCACCATTTGGCCAGGCTGGTCTTGAACCCTCGACCTCATGTGATCCATCCACCTCAGCCTCCCAGAGTGCTAGGATTACAGGCGTCAGACACTGTGTCCAGCTTTTAATTTCTTTGATAGTTATTAGCGTATTTAAGCCTTCTCTTTCTTCTTTGGAAAATTGTAACATTTTGTCTTTTTTTTGCAAGAAGGTAATTTTTCTTTCTTTCTTTTTTCTTTTCTTTTTGAGACAAAGTCTCACTCTGCTGCCCAGGCTGAAGTGTGGTGGTGCAATCTTGGCTGGCTGCCTGCAATCCTGGCTTACTGCAAACTCTGCCTCTCAGGTTCAAGCGATTCTCATGCCTCAGCCTCCAAAGTAGTTGGGACTACAGTTCGGAATCCCCCTGCCTCAGCCTCTTAAAGTGCTGGAATTACAGGTTTCCCTAGATTTTCTATTTTTTTATTTTATTTTATTTTATTTTATTTATTTATTTATTTATTTATTTATTTTTGAGACGGAGTTTCGCTCGTTACCCAGGCTGGAGTGCAATGGCGCGATCTCGGCTCACCACAACCTCCGCCTCCCGGGTTCAGGCAATTCTCCTGCTCCAGCCTCCCGAGTCGCTGGGATTACAGGCACGCGCCACCATGCCCAGCTAATTTTTTGTATTTTTAGTGGAGACGGGGTTTCACCATGTTGACCAGGATGGTCTCGATCTCTTGACCTCGTGATCTACCCGCCTCAGCCTCCCAAAGTGCTGGGATTACAGGCTTGAGCCACCGCGCCCGGCCTAGATTTTCTAATTATTTGGCAGAGTTACACATAATAGCCTTTTGTAATTTTTTTTTTTTTTTTTTAAGACAAGGTCTTGCTCAGTTGTCCAGGCTGGAGTAGTGGTGTTATCTCAGTTCACTACAGCCTCCACCTCCTGGGTTCAAATGATTCTTGTGCCTCAGCTTCCTGAGTAGCTGGGACTATAGGCATGAGCCACCACACCGAGCTAAGTTTTGAATTTTCAGTAGAGACAGGGTTTCACCATATTGTCCAGGCTTGTGATTCTTTTAATTTGCTATTATCAGTGGTTGTATGTCCTTTCTTACTCATGATTGCTATTTATTTATTTATTTTATTTTATTTTTTGAGATGGAGTCTCACTGTGTGCCCCAGGCTGGAGTACAGTGGCATGCGCCACCCCACCTGGCTAATGTTTGTATTTTTAGTAGAGACAGGGTTTTGCCATGTTGGCCAGGCTGGTCTCAAACTCTTGATCTCAAGTGATCCGCCTGCCTTGGCCCCCAAAGTGCTGGGATTATAGGGATTATAGGCATAAGCCACTGTGCCCGGCCTATTTTTTCTTTCTATCCTTATTCAGGCTTGGGATATTTTTCCTTTCAGTTTTACTGGTCCTTTCATCGTTTCAACTTTTTTTTTTTTTTTTTTTTTTTAGAGACAGAGTCTCGCTCTGTTGCCTAGGCTGGAGTATACAGGCACAATCATAGCTCATGGCAACCTCCTGGGCTTAAGGTCTCTTACTGCTTCAGCCTGCTGAGTAGCCAAGACTACAGGTGTGCACCACTACACCAAATGTAATTTTTTTTTTACTTTTATTTTAGGTGTAGGGACACCTGTGCAAGTTTGTTATATAGGTAAACTCATGTTAGGGGGGTTTACTGTATAGATTTTTTCATCACTCAGGTACAAAGCCTGGTAACTGATAGTTTTTTTTCTTTTTTTCACTGTTTCCCTTCTTCCACCCTGCACCCTCAAGTACGTCCCAGTGTCTGCTGTTCCCTCTTTGTGTCCATGTGTTCTCATCTCTGAATTCACACACACACACATATATTTGGAGACAGAGTTTCAGTCTTGTTGCCCAGGATGGAGTACAATGGCACAATCTCGGCTCACTGCAACCTCCACCTCCTGGGTACAAGCAATTCTCTTGCCTTAGCCTCCTGAGTAGCTGGGACTACAGGTGTGTGCTACCACACTTGGCTAATTTTGTGTGTGTGTGTTTTTAGTAGAGATGGGGTTTCACCATGTTGGCCAGGCTCGTCTCAAACTCCTAACCTCAGGTAATCCACCTGCCTTAGCCTCCCAAAGTGCTGGGATTATAGGTGTGAGCCACCACATCTGGCCAAGCTCCTACTTGTAAGTGAGAACATGTGGTATTTGTTTTTCTGTTCCTGTGTTAGTTTGCTAAGGATAATGGCTTCCAGCTCCATCATGTTCCTGCAAAGGACATGATCTTCTTTTTTTAATGGGTGCATAGTGTTCCATGGTGTATATGTACCACATTTTCTTTTTTTTTTTTTTTTTGAGACGGAGTTTCACTCATGTTACCCAGGCTGGAGTGCAATGGCGCGATCTCGGCTCACCGTAACCTCCGCCCCCTGGGTTCAGGCAATTCTCCTGCCTCAGCCTCCTGAGTAGCTGGGATTACAGGCACGCGCCACCATGCCCAGCTAATGTTTTGTATTTTTAGTAGAGACGGGGTTTCACCATGTTGACCAGGATGGTCTCGATCTCTTGACCTCGTGATCCACCCGCCTCGGCCTCCCAAAGTGCTGGGATTACAGGCTTGAGCCACTGCGCCCGGCCCACATTTTCTTTAATCTGTCACTGATGGACATTTAGGTTGATCCCATGTCTTTACTGTTGTGGATAGTGCTGCAGTGAACATACGCATGCATGTATCTTTATGGTGAAATGATTTATATTCCTTTGGGTATCTCCCCAATAATGGGATTGCTGGGTCAAATGGTAGTTCTGTTTGTAACTCTTTGAGGAATCACCAGACTACTTTCCTTACTGGTTGAACTAATTTACATTCCCACCAACAGTATATAAGTGTTCCCTTTTCTGTACAACCTCACCAGCCTCTGTGGTTTTTTTGACCTTTTTTTTTTTGAGATGGAGTTTCACTCTTGTTGCCCAGGCTGGAGTGCAATGGTGCAATCTTGGCTCACTGCAACCTCCGCCTCCCAGGTTCAAATGATTCTCCTGCCTCAGCCTCCTGAGTAGCTGGAATTACAGATGTGCACCACCATGCCTGGCTAATTTTTTTGTATTTTTAGTAGAGATGGGGTTTCACCATCTTGGCCAGACTGGTCTTGAACTCCCAATCTCATGATCCACCATGTTGGGCCTCTTCTTTTGTCTTCTAGGGGAAAAAAAAAGTATCTTATCTTTGTATTCGTAGTATCTGTCACCATCCCTGGCATGTAATACATACTGAACTGAAATGACTAGACATGGGTAAAGGAATCCCCAATATGGATGGCAAAAGAAGCATACTTTTGCCGGGCGCGGTGGCTCATGCCTGTAATCCCAGCACTTTGGGAGGCCGAGGCGGGTGGATCACGAAGTCAAGAGATCGAGACCATCCTGGTCAACATGGTGAAACCCCGTCTCTACTAAAAATACAAAAAATCAGCTGGGCCTGGTGGCACGTGCCTGTAATCCCAGCTACTCAGGAGGCTGAGGCAGG